ATGATCTTTCTTTATTTCATTTAGGATAGAAGAAAAATTTGTTTAAGCGTTATTTGCTCTTATTAACAAGTTTCCCCGTTTTTTAAATTGCTAGACCCCTTGGGAGAATGGAATGTATAAACTTGTATTTACGTTTCCCGAAGGTAATTTTAATTTTCTTCCAAGTATACTTGTGATATGTCTTTAGATTCTCCTGACAACTTTAGCCCCAATTTCGAATCCCTAGACTATCCCGTAAAACCTCCAAAATGTAAGTCACATTTTTGTAGTTTAATGCACGCTGAAGAAATTCTAATTTAAATATTTTCCTTAGGTAAATTTGTTCCTCCTCTCTTCCATCCTAACGTATATCCGTCCGGTACAGTCTGTTTGTCAATTTTGAATGAGGATGAAGCTTGGAAGCCATCGATTAGGATCAAAGATGTAATCATATTTACATTTTACATCCTTTAATAATGACAACACATATAAATTCATCATACATTTATGTTTTTTAGATTGTTATAGGTATACAGAAACTTCTCAACGAACCGAATCTCAACAGTCCAGCTCAATCGGAAGCTTATATGATGTTCAAGTGAGTAGTTATTTTTACCGTGATTTTAACAAATACATCAATTCTTTGTAACGTTTTTTTTTTTTTTTTTTTTGTACCAAAGGAACGACCAAGTAGCATATGAAAAACGCATTAAACTACAAGCGCAAGAACGAAGAGTAGACTAGGTTGTCACACTTGTATTGCTGCCTCTTATCGTTAGAATTTGTTCGTGAGAAACCTGTCCCTCCATTTAATATACAAGTGTCTAGGGATTTTCATTGTCAATTATTACTTATATAATCCAATACATTGTACATTATTATGTTGGCGCATTTTTTTTGCCCGAGTGGAGGTGAATAATCAATAAAAAAATAAACCCATTTTTATAATTTATTTTATTGGTTTTAGAGGTTATTATTGGTTGCATGGAAAAAGCAAATAAACAAATAGTTAATTATATTATTTTATATAAAACCATATTTTTAATATATGTATTAAAATTTTACAATTGAAATTTTCATAATATAAAATAAACTATATTTGATAACATACAGTATTAATATAATAGTAAAATCATTGTGTTCTGTTTCTTTTATTTTTATACGTGATTATTTATATAAACACTAATTAACAATATGGAATTATTCTTAAGCAAGCGAAATCCTGAGAGCGTACTATCTCCAATAAAGGTAAGGGCAAGGGCCTCCACTTGAACAAAAAAAAAAAGAAATCAATCTGCATACACATAAATGATATGATAAATTGGAATGTTGTCGTGACAGACTAACGTGATACTATGTGATACGATAAAAAACAAACATTCTCTCGATTTATTCTTATTTGCTAGATATTATGTTACATGATTGTCTCTATGATATTTTATATTAAACGTGTACAAGATTATATGCAAAAACGAAGGTGAGATCGCCGTCAATAGTACGTCGATGCATCGTTAAATGCGAACATTAAACAACCAGCTCTTCCAAAACAGCACAACTTCCTTCCAGATCTATATCCTTTACCGTTCATTCCTACCACGATTTTAACATTTAAACAAATCAATCGAGAATAATTAAATCAAACGCCATGATTCGTTGTAACGCATGTCACGCCAATATCGGTAATACCGTTCGAATAAGTTGTGGTGTGTGTGAGGACTTTAACCTCTGCGTCACTTGCTTTGCCTCGGGGGAAGAACTGGAAGACCACAAAAGTTGGCACGAATATAAAGTTTTGGTGCGTTAAGTTTATATAGTGTTTCTTTGTTTGATTAAGGTGGAATTATCCAAAGGGAAAAAAAAAAAAGAACTGAAAATATTCAATGTAAAGAGTCAGGCCGAATTATGATGATTAATGAACTTGCTAGTCACTTTTTATATTAATTCGATCAATCTTCCTTTAGGAACAATATTCATTTCCACTATTTAACGAAGATTGGGGAGCGGATGAAGAGGAATTACTGATTGAGGGTGCAGAGATGCATGGTTTGGGAAATTGGTCAGATATTGCAGAGTACATAGGGAGTAAATCGAAAGAGGATTGCGAAAGCCATTACATGGAGACCTATGTGAATAGTGAAACGTGGCCATTGCCGGTAATTTAATCAAGCTTCATGCACCTTGTTGGGCGAGGAATTGAGATAGGATTTTAATTGGACATTAGAAATTTGTGCATACATTCGATAGCATCATTTAAGAGGGAGACGGATCTTTTCTCGGATAATTATATTTCTAGTTCAATCTTCAACATCTTAAATTAAGGAGGCATTATGCGAACTTTTTTCTCAAAAGAATCTAGTATTGACCTTTGAACTCTTTTTTTTTTTTTTAGAACATGAACTTTCAACCTGATGAAGATGCAGTGAAATCGCGCAAACGAAAACGTGTAACAGATGCTGAAAATCGACAAAGTAATTTGATGTGGTTCGCACACTTTTATTTAAAATTTAATTTTTGAAGTTGTTTATTAAATATATCCCATGTAATAGATACACAAAAGAATCTAGCTCCTGCTAAGGTAACATTCGTGGTTGACACCCTTCTCTCAAGGTCCTTCTCGCTAAAGATTTTTTATAATTCAGCCGCAAGTTCTTCAGAGCACGCCAGCCAACCACGAGATCACAGGTTACATGCCGAATCGGTTGGAATTTGAGAATGAATTTGATAATGATGCAGAACTTGTCATCAAAGATTTAGAAATATGCGAACAGGACAATAAGCAAGATTTTCGTACGCATGCCACATTTTTTCAAAGATTGTTTTCTATATTTAGATTTAACATTTTATTTTTGCTTAACATTTAGTAATGAAATCATATGTACTGGAGATATACAACAAAAAGCTGCATAAACGTGCTGAACGAAAGAAGATCATATTTGAACATAATCTGATAGACTATAAAAAGAATGTAAGTTGGAACGTTATTTCATGATGTCATTTAGTATAAAGTGCAATGGATCTTGGTAACCATTTCATTCATTCACCGCAGAAATTGGCCGAAGAGGAAAAATACAAGAGCAAAGAAGCCAAAGAACTGTTTAATAAAATCAAGCCATTTGCACAGACTTTGTGTAAACAGGAATTTGAAGAATTTGGAGAGGGATTAAGTAGTAAGAAATTAGTTTACGTTTCTATCACCGTTTGGGCTCAATAGTGTCGTCACGATTTATTCCAAATTATTCTTCCAGATGCGCAAGCTCTTCGTTCCGAAATAAGAAGATTACAAGAACTTCGCCGAAACGGACTAACAAGTTTTAGCGAAGAAAAAAAATATCTGAAAGCAAAGGAGCAAAGGGTGGGTCTTTATTTGCTCTGCTTAACAAAAGGTTATAGTGATTCTTCTCAACAAAAAGATAACGATCGATATTTGTAAAACAGGAATCAAATCGAGAATTAGCGGCCCGTTCAAATGGACACTTAATATCTATGACATCAAGTATAGCGTCAAGATATGCTTCCAAAACTCCTGTACGTGTAAATGAGGTACGCTTTTGATTTGATCCTTAGTTATCGACCGGCAGTGCTGTGGTTTCGATGTGCCAAGTACTGAAGGGTCCGATAACTAACCTATCCTCTGACAATATATATCCGAGTATCAAAAAGTTAACTTTCATGTCTAAGTGATATATTGATCGGAGGATAGATTTGTGACGTAATTAGTCAGCTAATCAGTAAATTAATCATGTCATAATCTTTCACTTCACTTGATTAATAGCAACAGCAACAGTCGCCACTAGCGTCACCGTACGGTTGTAAGACGATCTCTTCATCGTCCGCTAACAAAGCAACACGTAAGATCCCTCAAGCACTCGATCTTAATGATGAGGAAGGTGTAGATTTATTATCAGAGGCTGAAAGAAAGTTGTGCGAAGGTTTACGAATACTTCCTAGATCCTATTTGGTGATCAAAGAGACAATTCTTAAAGAATGGGCACGAACCAATGGAACCCTTAGGAAGCGACAAGCAAGAGACCTCATACGCATTGATGTTAGCAAGACGGCCCGGATTTATGATTTTTTCATAGAGATGGGTTGGATAAGGCAATTATCAGATAATGGTTACTCAGGGGGAAATCCTAAACCTATGTCTAATGGAACGGGAAATAGCGAAGGCGCTGCGACGTCTAATGGCATTCACCCTCCGGCTAACAATAACAATCAAAGGACATACAAGCCATGCTAAATTAACTTTGCACGAATCATTTGATTGGTCCCTCTACATCTCGCATCAACATCTTACATTATTGTCCTTATCCTTTCTATTAATTTATATTTTCCTAGGTTTTCACACAATGTAACAAATGTAATATATATAAAAAAAAAAAAGCAAATCCTGGGAATAAATGTTGACTGTGATGTGATGAAAACCAGTTTACTCCTTGAGTGATTGATTACCTTAAAATTTTTTATGAAATTTTGCGAGATTATAGGTGCACCTATTTAGTTTTCGTATGCCGAGATTATATTTAAGTTTGTGAACCTTACCTTGTGGAGACTAACGAGTCGTGTGTTATGTGTGAGTCCAGGCAATCCATCATCTCTTTTATGATTGTTGCCATTGTAGATTCCATCTGATTGATTCTTTAGTTGACCATTAGAAATAGCACACTGTTAAAAAGATGGTTGAAATACTTCAGGTTCCCTCGAAACTAAAAAGTATTCCCTTTTATAGTAAATTAAAAATTATAATTTTGGAAATGTTTTATAAAAAAAGCAATATACAACAATATAAAAAATGCAATTTATTTTTTCATATAATGATTTACAGTATTTTATATTAAATTTTTTTTTTTAAAAAAAGTAGTCAACTTGATAATTTTATATTATTTGTTAGCATGAAAAATTCTGGTTAAAAAAATCAAAAAACTTAATAATAATAAAATTAAATATACAGTATTTCGATTGACATATATTATAATATAAAAAGTAATAATAATAAAAAATTTTTTTGGATAAACAGTTCATGTATACTTTGTTTCAAATATACAGTAACTTTTGAGATATTGTATTTCTTTTTTTTTTTTTTTTGAAATGATGACTCAATCTCATTTTATTGAATTTTCAAATCAGGGCTAAATTAAAATTTTATGTTACTGCTATCACTTTAATATCATAAGCTGATTACTTTTTAAGAGCTTTTTTAGTTGAAGATATATTACCTATTTCTTTATTGTTTTTTTTTTCTTTTTTTTTTTTTTATCTGCAATCATGTCATTATGATATGTCTTTATTGAAATATTTAAAAATAGCTAAATATTTACATACTTTTACAAAGCAACTAACTTATCATTGTATATTATTAATCAAAGAATTATACTATTTAAAAAATATAAAAAGTTCACTAAGCTAGTTTGAACTAAATAAAACTAAGTCTCAACTAGGTACTTTAAGTCAAATTTAAGAAACAATATTATATTTACTCAGTAATTTGATAATAACATCTAATTACTAGAATTATTATCAATAGTTTGTTACTGTCAATTATCCTGAAAAACAATAAATTGCTAAAGTATAATACTAGAAAAGAAGAAAAAAGAAAATACAATTCAAAACTCTTTAAAATATTCTTGTTTTATTTTATAATTTTCTCTTGGAAAGGGGTTTGCCTGATTGAGATATCCTTTAAGCTTTGTAATATTTAAGAAACTTAACTATTCCTAAAATAATTTCAAGAAAAATATTTGAGGAACTTATCCTTCTATCAATGTATAAATTCACCTAATATTACTGAAGCCAATACTATATTATAGAAGAGTTTGCCTGATCAGAATAAAGAAGTCTTTTCAAAAACTTTATCTAACTAGAATAGAAACTCGGAGATCCCAACTTTTATTCAAGAAAGCCTTTTCACCATCTAAGAAACTTAGTAAGAAATAAGAGTCAAATTTGTTTGCCTACCTATCACTTGCCTTTTGATATTATAATTGTTTCCTAGAAATTGAACATATATAATTGAAGATAAAACTTTTTCTAAAACTTTCTTTTTTATATTATCAATAATATATTGAGACATATAAGTATAATCAATAAGAGCTTGTTTATATTCCAAAAACTGACATGCTTCATGTTAGTCAATCACCTTTGATGGAGATTTATGCTATTCAAAATTCAAGGTTAAACTGAGTTAAGCAAAATTTCCTAAAAAATCATGAAAGTGAACACTTTAAGAGAATTAAAACAGTTTAAAAAAGAAAAAATAAGTCTTTTAACTATAACAAACTTCTATAAATCTTTTGTTTCAAAGGTTAAAAAGGCTTTTAGGTATTTTACAATCAGTTTTTCTTCCTTTGAAAACTTTCTTATCATTGGTTTCAAAGGTGCTATTTGATTTTTTTTAATTATTAGGGGTCAAGTTTTTGAGTAGAAAGGTTCATAAACAATAAAAGAAGAGTAAAAATGACTCTTGAAATCATATTTTAAGTTGTTTTAAGGAAAGTATTAAAATTTTATTAGCAAAGGAATATAAAAACTTCTAATAAATATCTTTTTTGTATATAATTAGAGAATTAACTAAAAGAATTGAAATTTTACTTATTTTTTAGGTGAATTCAATATCTCTATATAAAATCCTAATTACTTTAATTTATTATATATCTTATTATTGAGGAGAACAATTTGAATCAATCTAATTTATGTATCAGAAAAACAGATTTATCAATTTTCTTAAATTCTTTTTATTAAATATTCTTAAAAAAAACAAATCATTTTAAAAAAATTTTTTGGATCTCCTTTGATTTGTTTATTATGTAAATCTAATTTTGCCATAAGATCTGATTATTTTAAATTTCTATCTATTTAATAGGATCAGAGAAGAAATCTATTTGATAATTAGAAGTAAATAACTATGACTATAAAATTCAATTATAATATCTTATAACTTTTACTATAATCGAATGTATTCTTTTTGGAAGAAATTAATAATATAATCAAAATAGTATCATATATTCAGTTGTATATAATATAAAGTAACTTATAGTAGATTCCAGATTCTTATAAATATGAAGAAATACATTTAAATATATAGGGTAATCAATAGAAAATTATTTTTATTTTTTACTAATATAAGTTCTATTTGTCCAATTACAATATGAGAAACTTTGTATAGTTCAAAATTCAGAATCAAACTGAGATAGGCAAAATTCTTTAGAAAAAATAAAAAATAAGTATTATTAAAGTGACAACATAACTGGAAAGTAAAAAAGTTATCTTTAATTATTTAAATACTTTGTATTATTTTTCTACAATATAAGACAATAGTATATTAGTTCTTTTTCCTTTTAAAATTTTTTTATCCTTAGTAGAAAAGATGTTTTTTGATCTTTGCAATTACTAGAAGTCAAGTTTTTGTTTAAAAAGAATAATAAATAAAAAAAGAGAGAAGTAGTAATAACTCTTGAAGTTTTTTCAGGTTGGTTTAAAAAAAGTAATAAAACTTTATTAGTATAGAAATATAAAAACTTTTTATAAATATCTTTTTTATATATAATTAAAGAATTAATAAAAAGAGTTGATTGGTATAAGATATTGTATATCAAAAAATCAAAAAGAATCATTTATTGAAATAAAATTAATTATAAAATAATTTATTGTTAAAAAATATTTAGTTAAATTAATTTTTTTTTTTTTTTTTTTAACCTGCAATTATGCCACAATGGCTTGTCTTTATTGAAAAATTGAAGTAAATTTACAATATTTTACAGACTTTCACAATGTGACTAACTCGTTTTCATACAAAAGTACTCTAAGTCAGATTTGGGGAACAATATTATACTCCTCCAATAGATTGGTAATAACCTCTATTTACCAAGATTATTGCCAACAGTTTGTCACTGTTGAGTTTAGTTAAATTAATAGATATTCATATTTAGAATAATCAATTAAATTAATATTTGTATTATCTATAATTAAATCAAATAACAATTTATTTATTTTTTTTTTTTAAGTATATGTAACCAGACTAAATTGGCAGTTTATTAATCAATGAAAACATAATTATATTTTTATTCAAGCAATATGATACATATTACAGCCAAACTATTATTCTAATCTAACTAACTTATTGTAAGTATAAAAACCTTTAAGTTTAGTCTTGGAGACAATATTTCACTCAACAGTATCTTTGAGTAAAAACCCTCCTAGTCCATTGCATTATTGTCAGTAGATTGTTGCTATTATATATATTACTAAGCCACTGGAATATATGAAACTACAAAAGGATGGATTGAAAAAGGGGAAGGAGAATATCTAAAAATATCTAAGTAAATAATAAGAAAATAAAAAAGTAAAAATTTGAAAAAAAGATTTCTAGCTTTCTTTAAAGACCTGCTTATCAAGATCTTTTTTCAATAAGAAATTTCTAATTGAAATATTCTTTCTTTTCTTGACTATCTAAGGAACTTATCCATTTTTGATTTTGATTTCCTTCTTGTGTACCATCTAAGAAGACTTATTGCCTAGTGAAAACCTTTACTTCCAGGACATACTTGGTCCTAACTTTATTTGAGCAGTGATTTTTTATTCACCTGCAGTAGATATGTGACTTATAATAGACCCCGATTCTTATGTGATTTAGTAGAAACTAGGTCATGTTGTTTCAGTATGATACCTTCTAGTAGCCATACTTAGTTAAAAGAATTTTACTAATATATATCATCCATTACTCAAAAGGCCAGATTCCCCAATAATCCTTTTGCCTTATAATGGTAGGAGGGTCTTGAAAGAGATAAGGATCCTTGTCAATTGTGATATTATTTAACAACTTTTGGGGAAATGCATTTTTAACTGTAATTAAAGGGTTGGAGCTTAGTATAGACTAGAGACCATTCAATATTATTGCCTGATTAGGATAAAAGTGAGACCTTGATCTTGAACTTTGCCTGACTGGAATGATAGAAGAGAAAGACCTCAGCTTGAACAAATAGTAGCTTTTTCATTATCTGGAAACTTGTTGTTCATATTTTATTAATCTTATAGAACTTAATCTATAGATTAATCTAATTGAAGAAGAGAAGTGAACATAAGGCATCAATCAACTTTTTCAATTACCAATAATATCATCAGAACACATGAAATGATCAATAGAAACTTGTTTATATTTAGCTACTAACGTGTTTTGTGTTAACCAATCAGATTTCAGGTGACATTGTGCTATCCGAAATTTAGGATCAAACTGAAGTAAACAAA